TCTTGGTGCTCACCACACCTGAGCCTTTCACTGTTGCGAACTTCAGCTTAAACGGCCGCTTCAAGTCGTCTGGCACTTCGATGTCCTCTGCATCTGGAAAAGACTCCTGAAAGTGGAAGTACACATGCAGTTTTCCGTGCAGGACGCATGTCACCCGAACAAACATCCACTACGCCGAGCCACCAATATATGGTCGTCGTCCAAGAAGGTGTCTCCTAAGCGAGGCACAGTCAAGGCAAGAAATGACTGACTTCATGTGCTGCTTCTCTCCATTCCTGCGTGCACATGTTTGCTTACAGGGCCGGAGATCTTCCGGACCTCCGGCATCTCAACTGTCTACGCGGATCCACACTGCCGGAAAGCGTCTGAAATCAATTTCGCTCAACGCCGTTGGAAGCTTCCAGTACTGCGCAGCTCCGGGGTCTCCATATCCCAAGAAGAGATCATGCAACCAATCCTTGGCCAAACGCGTGGCAGGACAGCTAGGATAGCTAGTTTGCACTCTTGCACCCCACATGACCATAGGTGTCAAGGCACCGGTACAACCGTGTCCTCGTTGTTCATCAGGCTCCTACATGCATGATCAACTTAGATCAATGTGCGAGAAGGCCAGGGGATGGGTGTGGGAGTGGACGGGCTGGGGCTAGGGAAACAAGCAAGGCAAAAAGATGAAGTGAGAGGGAGACAGCGAAAGACCCAGAGAAGAGAGACTTAGAGAGGCGAGAGCCAGTGTGGTCGGACAAAGCAAGCACACCGTTTTGGGCCATAGGTCTTGCTACAGCACGCCTTTGCCATTCCGGTCACGAACAAGGTGCATGTCCTGATCGTGTGGAGGATGGCCTTGAAGTTGTTCTCCTTCCTTACTTCTGAGATGTCGAACTTGTGGCTTCGCATGGCTTCGCTATCCAAGCTGGAATGGCTTTCGCGAGTACCGTAGCCAGGGCTGGCCAGCGCACAGCTGCCACATGACAAGACCAAGGTCATGCTTATTTACCGGTCAGCGATGCGTCAGCATCATTGGACCCCGCATCGCGCACTCCTACGATCTGGAAGGAAAGGCCCAGGCAGGCCATTGAATGTAGGCGACAAGCCCGTTTTCCCAAAGGAAGACGTGTCAAAGACAAGATTCAATGTCGGCATGATCTTTGGATGTCTTTGCGGCCAAGTCTCGGCTTGCGCCTCATCACAAGGTTGAGAGTGCTGTAGATTTCTGTCTTGCCAGCTGCCATTGCCTCCAAGTCCTGTCAGATAGGTGCTCGCAAATGTGTGCGATGCTTATCGCGGGTGACTAGCCACTGATTTCGATTGCCTACGTGGTCAGCCTGAAAGACTAGAGATGTGAATCATTCATTCTGAACCATATCGTGATGTGCAATCTTACGACAAGCAATTATGTATGGACTGTGGCTTTTGGATTGCATCTGCATATAGCTTGTCGGGACAAGGAGGATGGGATTAAGCTGCAGGCGCCGTAGGCTGCAGATTCTCCCGAGTTTCCGAATGCTGTTAATTGCAGCGTTCAGGGCACGTGAAAGTTTTCAACGCATTTCTGAGGGCTTGCCAAGCTCCAAAAATAGCTGACGCCAAACTCCACATGCCTATACAACATATTGGCAGCTTTCCTGGAAGCGAGGAGTCATTTACATTTTCAATGTTCACCGCTTGCAACCTTGTTAATCCGTTCACGGCGTGCTCTCAAGGAAACGGCTTGTCTTTGGCTTTCCGGCAGTCAGGGGACCAGCACGCCAAGAAACTAGAAAAACTAAAGCTATCCTTAACAAAAATGACCAAGGGCGAGCCGCACCGCAAACAAATGCTACCAAAAACAAAATCTGGCCTTCTGCAGCTTGCACACCGGCTGCATAGCTGCATACTTTGCAATCTCTTGAAAAACTTTGCAAAACAGCTAAGATACTACAAAACTTCGCTGAAAGCTTTCAGACCTTGCCTGGTGGTACTGCGCGGGATCCAAGATCACTCGCGCCACCCGTCCATCTCCGACGGGAGTCTTGCGCTCTGCAGGATTCGGATCACTAATGACGTTGCCTGTGCAGCGCAGCAAGGCCTCCAATACACACGCCTGCTGAACGCACCCGCGCGCCTTCGTCATCCAGAAGCTCTGTGATCTCCTTTGCCGCTGCTCTCTGTGACTAACTCAAAACTCGCACCTTTTGCTTGCAACATGCTTTGAGCTTGGTTTGCAGGGCTCGGACCGCCCCGCGTACGCTCACAACACCTTCAGCATGCCATCCGGCCACTCCGGCTACAAAGAGCACGACTTTAGCGACGACGTATTGACGCCACATGCTGAGTTGCCAGCCGAACTTCTCAGGGAACTCGGCTACCGTAAGGTCGGCAACTCTGCCATCGTAGGGCTCCTCTGGTGCCTTGATCCTGTGCTCCAGCGCTTGTTGCTCAACGAAGCTGTTCATTCTGCTGCAAAGACTTGCCAAGGCCTGATGAGGAAAATCACATCGTGCTCTCTGAGAGTATCCCATTCCTGGCGAACCTGCCTCAGGCTCATCACAGTATCACATACTCAAGCAATCTCAAGCATGCCATGAAGCGTACGAAGGCCAAACATCTGTGGCAATGCTTGTCCTTTATCGCATTTGCTCCGGAATCCTTCCTTCAGTCTCTTGTTTTCTTTCTCTCATGGGACAAGGGGAAGATCCCCGGGACATGTTTGCCCGCCCCTGCATGAGGGGCCTTAGCTGTTCGATCAAGTTCGATCTGGCATAGTTCAGATCCAACACTCACTCACCAAGGCGGCAAACGCACTCTGTTTGTTCTTTCCCCCTCTTTCTGTGAGGCGTGCAGTCGCCGAGTCTGTTGGTGAGATCCAGGAGGTCCCCCCGGCCGCGATGGCCCGCTGCTCTCTCCAGAATCCGTGAGCGACCCATATTCAGTAAGCCTCAAACACCACTTCGGCCTGGTTTGGCCAGCACTGTTTTCTTGTTTCTCTTCCTTGGGGCATGAGGGGGAGACCCCCCCATGCGCAGTCCACGCACCCCCGTCTTGAGGATATCGGTTTCGCTCGGATGTTGGGGGGGTGATATCGACCCCCATAGGCCCCACTTCGGTTGCCAGGTTATGCCCTTCTTCCTCGCTCTCTGAGAGGCCTTCACGAGCACACTTCGGAGCTACGAGGGGCTTTCCCATTCGAGAGACCGGTCGGCAGTTTCCAACTTTCCTCGTGTGTTGAGGGCCCGCAGCCCCGACACCAACTAGCGGTCCAAGGAGACACTTGAGGAGCTTCTTCCACGGATGCCTTGCCCTCGTCTAAAATGCACATGAATACATGAAGTTTGTTTACAACGTACGTGTTTTACTAAGGCTCTGTCGGTAGAACTCCCGTCAGCGCCCAGCGGACTTCAGCCCGGACTTCTGACGGAACTTCTTCTCCAACTTTGGGTCTCTTGACCTCGGCAGTCAAATCATCTGAGCCACACCTTACATCAAACATTTGTCAGGGCTCCCAAGTCCTACGTCTAAAGCTTTCAATGTCTGAACGTGCTTTGACATGGACGCATGGCATGGCTGGTAGCGATGGTGCTCAAGCCTGGTTATGCTTAGGCGGAAGAACACCGTGGCTCCAACTTCATTGTGAATGCTGGCGCGGTGCGTTCATGACTTCCAGCCCACCCAAGGGCACCATCATCCGTCCAGATCCAGAGAAGTGCGTGCTACCATCTTGGTCGATGGAAGCTTTCATCCTGGTGTCAGCATTTTTCGCAAGGCCATCAACTTGACCATGGCTAGAACATGCTAGAACATGGTGATGGCAATGCACCTGGGTATCTGATCTTGAAGATCATCTCGTATCTCATGCGTTGACTCCAACCGGAAGAGGTTGAAATTTCGCAACAAGTAGTCCTCAGAGTCCATGGGTCGAGCTACCACAACATTCCATTCAAACTACAAGTACCAAATACCAGCACCAACTTAAAGCTGCGCGACATGGATGGTGAGGAATTGCAAGTTGAGCTTGGGAAGGGCCAGCGTGTAGTCACCTGTGGGGCGCATGAGTGTGCATGTAGGGGGGGTGAATGGGGTGACGACTCGCGGGCCTGAGTAGTGCTCCTCAGGGACAAGATTTGGATCCCAAATCAAATCTTCTGTGGGGTAGAGAGGCATCTTCATCACATCGTCTTGCCTCACAGCTGGCACTGACAACTTTAGAACCACTGAACACTTCGCAAGGCAGCATTTCTGCAGCCAAGCCGCTGCATGACGGGACGTTCCAATCGGTTGACAAGAATTTCCACAAGCAACTTGCAGATTCGTTCTTCCTCCTCCGTTTTCACCTGGAGTAATCAGCAGCTAAACGTGGCCAGCTACTCTCTACAACCTCCGGCTTTGACAGCGGGGTCGTGACTACAGCTGCCTTCTTTTTTCTTTTCTTCTTCTTGGGCTCTGCGACTTCCTTGTCGGCATCCTGAGCCTCCTGTGCCGCGATGGCGTCGTGTACCTGCATGGCGAGCGACTTAGTGAAGCTCGCCACTGTAGTCACTGTAGTCGACGGCAGTCATGCCGCACCCACCTTTTTCTCCATGGCCGCCAACGTCGTGTCTTTAGAGACCTCAGCTACGTGGTCAAGGATCGCAAGTCTTCGTTGATAACGAACGAGAGCAGAAGCTTTTTGTTTTGCATGACAACCATTTCGGCCTACCTAAGACCGAGAATCAGCGACACTGAGAACAGCTCGTAAAACTCGTACTAGCAACAGAGGACACTGCGGGGAAGGCCCCCTGGTACTCTTTGTGTCTCCGTTCAGAGCCTTCTGAGTCTTAGAAAGCCTCTGATTGGGGTTTCAGTCTGTGGGAAAGCTGAGCGCGCCCTCGACCCAAAGGTGCAGACACAAAAACCAAGAGGCCGCCACCTCTGGGCTTGGCATGTGTCCCCCGGATCGGTGTTTTTTAAATGCTTTCCTTCAACCACACCGTCTGCTTCACAATGAAATCAGCATGAGAAATTGAGACAATAAACTCTACGTGTCA